TGCGTGGCTGGGCCAGATGGCGACCTGGCTGCTGCGGCGCGGCCTGCGGTGATTTGGACAGCGGCTGCTTGTGCCGCGCGGTGGCAGAGCCCCTCTCGCTGGGCTCCAGCAGGTGCCATGTGCGCTCCAGCCGGCTCTTGGCCTCTCATGTTGGGCAGGGGCTTCCAAGCAGAGGCTTTTGAGAGCTCTGTGCAGGGACCTTCCCCGACGAGGGGAGGGAAGACTCTACCCCCCTTCTCCTGAGCTGAGCCTGTCAGGGCGGATCCTCTCTCCCCTTGCTCAGGGCTGGGACCAGTGCTGCCTCATCAATTCTCTAAGATGGAGGTGGCAGCAAACTGCCTCTCGGCACATCCTCCGACCCTACTGGTGCCCCGTGAACCACTCCTCGGGCAAAGACGAACCTAGTCCCTCGCTGATCTGGTCAACCAGTGGATTAGAAGGATGAGCAGCCCCCTTGTGCCCGTCAGAGTCCTGAGTCCTCCTGGGGCCAAGTTCACCACCACTGAACCCCTGCTGGCACTTGGCCACTGATTCTAGAAGAGCCCAGGGACAAAGGCAGCACTAACGCCCTGGCTCCGCCCACTCAACTCTCCAAGGCCTTCCCAAGGTCACTGTGTGGGAGGACAGCTTGCAAAGCAGGTGTTTGCAGGAGCCTTGCCAAGGCAACTTGTATTTTTAACTCTCCATCAGCCTACGTAAGTGGCTGCGCCGTCTGCAATGCAGCGGAGCCTGGTGAACAGCAGGCAGTGGGGACAGGTTCAACTGCTCAGTGACAAGGATCGGATCCACACATGACCTGCTCCCATTAGCAAAGCACACAAAGAGCTTTCCAGTCCCTTGGATCAGAAAATAATGGAATTGTTTTGCTAAAGTCTAGCAATAATTCATTTCCTGAGAGGGTGCTTGGCCAAAATTGGAAGCTGTTGTCATCTTACTCCGTTCCCTTATCCATAATTCATGTTTAACGTGCCTGCAGAAGGCTTCCCCTGAGCGTCTCGTATCAGATTTCCATTGCATAGCCCTTTCGTAAACCTACCCAACTGTCATGTTTGTGTCAAATTGCCGCATTCCTGTAACAGCCAAAAGCTGAATTCTGGTGGCTTTTCCGCAGGGTAACAGGGCAACAGAGGACTAGATCCCACTTTCGACCTGATTCCTGGGAAACGGGTGGAGCACGTGGGGAGAGGTGACCTCACCCTTCATCCCACAGGCTGCGGACACTGTCCCTGCTCCGTCTCCTCCACCCACAGCCGGAGGCCCTCAAAGCACTGACTTCAAATATTTGACTTAGCACTGACTGCCACCTCTTTTAGTCATGGATATAATTCCTGATAGAAGGAAAGCTGTAAAACAAGTGCACTCGATGTATCAACTTGCCTCTTTTAGAACAAATTCTAAAACAACACCTTCGGGCTGTTTCCGATGAGGGGTCCTGTCCGGGGCGAGGGTGCTGCTGTACTTGCTCAGGGTCTCTGCAGCTAGAAAGCCCCTCGTGGGCACGCCCGCCAGCCCAGCGGGGAACAGGAGCCCTTCCCGAGCCACCTGCCTCGGTCCTGAGCAGACCGTGCCGCCCAGACGGCTGTCCCGATCCCCGAGCCCAGAGCAATGAGTTGGTCCTTCCAATCAGAGGTCAGCACCCTGGGGAACACCCACCCTTCCTAGGAACAGCTCTGCACCAACCAACAGTTAACCCTGATCACTTCCTGAATGACCGAATGAGTGGAAACACCACCTCGAGCACACGGTGCCCTGGGAGCCGGGAGGAGAGCCCCAGGTGGACTCTGCCACCCTCGCTCTGGCGGAGAGAAGCCGCGACCCTGCCGATCAGAGGACACCCTCAGTGACTGGGAACAAGTCAGCTTTCTTTTGAGCAGCATGACTGGGCTCATGGTGAATAAATCTCATTTTAATTAGCAGTTTAGGTAAGCCGGGGCCCAAAGCTTCAAAGACACTAGGCCGGCCCTTGGAGGTCTGAACCAGAGCAAACGCTTGCCCAGTGCCCGCAGTAGCCGCACTGCCTAAACGAAGACTCGGCAGGAGGGCCAATGGGAGATCTATTATTTATAAAACACTTTACATTAATGAACTGCCTTTGTTGAAAACCAAAATGGAAGCAAACTGGGGGACTCCCTGAACATCCAAGCCTCCAGAGGCCATGCCCGCAGTCCTGCTGCCCAGTGACTCCCTGGGCCCCTGGTTGTCCGTGCAGGGCAGGGAAGGCACACGAGGTGGGAAGAGTGGGGGCTGCACTTGCATCTGCAAGGCTGCGGCACCTAAAGAGGACCAGATCTGTGATACCCGGCCTTCTTCGATTCCTCCTGCTGGCAGCCAGGAACCCCAGGGTGTCAGCAACTGATCCCAGCCGCAGGGTGGAGGGGGGGAGGTCACATCCCACTTTCCCACCAACTGTTGGCGCCTGGAGGGTAGGAAACGGGGGCCTCCGCCTTCCCCCGACCTACTGCCTTGAAAATGTCAAAATTTTTGTGGAATTAAGTGCTAGTCTAGGAACGAAAAGCAGAGCTCTGGACAGGACCGAAGACAGCTCTGTACTTACCAGAGGTGGGGCCGCACTGCCTCTCACAGCCCATCTGCGCATCAGGTCCCTGGAGGCCAGCCTTCCTCAGGCTGAGCTGGGGTGGGAGGCTGGTCCAGTCCTGCCATGTGCCCTAGGGACAGGGTGCCCGTGTCAGGGTCAGCTCTCACTGACTGCCGCCCTCGGGACGTCTGCTCTTCCACACTGTCCTCTGGGCTATGTGCTCACACTTCCCTTAACTCTCCTCACTGCTCTATTTTTGCTTTTAATTTAAATACAGACATCAACCTCATCCTAAACAACAAATCTGCCTGTGTGTGCAGGACGCAGCTCTGGGGGTGCCGGAGGAAGGGGGCCCGGACTAGGATGGAGGCTCCAGGGTGTGCCTTTTACATTCTGAACCCCAGCATGTGGGTATAAGATGGATAAAGCACACTTAATAGCAAACCCGTGAATTAAAAATTCAAGAATGCAACTTGGTTAATAGCAAGTAGCCAATTATCAGGGAGCCTTGGAAGGCCAGGAACTCGCCTCCCAGCGAGTCGGTGAAAGGAGCTACCAGGAGGAGGCCTGGAACATCAGCGGTGACCAGCCGTCGTGGTGATGGCAGCGCTGCCCTGAGTCAGCAGGTCGCCTGGGCACTGCTGAATGCCAGCCCGCTGCCAACTCACGGGCTGCGGCCACCAACCGAGATGAACGACCTTTGCTCTCCTCCCCCGACATCAGAAGGAGCTGTGGGAGATGCTTACCTGGGGCCGCTACCTTCCCGCTGCCACCTCATTGCGGGCTGCAGAGCGTGGGGCTGTGCAGCCGGTCCCGTCCTGATCAAGGGCCACAGGGCACACCCAGCCTGATCGTCGGGAGCCAGTGCGCCAGGCCTTGACCGCCGGCATCCCCGGCACTGTGGGGCGAGCTGGGCGGTCTCCGCAGGCACCTGGCCCAGGCTCAGGGCTCCACGCGTCTTCTCCTTGGGTCTGAATATCTGGTCATGCCACTGAGGGAGCCCCACCACCCAAGTCCCGGCCCCCACAGGGCGAGGAGCGGCTCTTTCTAATTTACTACCTAGGGTTGAGAAGGCAGATAAATTCCCAGCACTTACGCAGGAAAAACAGCAAACGTTTCACCCAAAATAAACCAGAAAGGAAGGGGGGAAAAAATCCCCTTTCAAATCAGCCTTTGAAAACCAACCAGCCACTGCTTGCTCCTCGTCAGCCTCGGGCCCCCAGAGGGCCAGGCCTCGTGCACAGACGTGAGGAACAGACAGGAGCCACATTCTGTAACAAACCCTTTTCTTTTTTATTAGAGATAAAAACAGCAAAGTCCCACATACCGTACCCTGTGAGAAAACGAGGAGTGAGGAGTGTTGACTATTTACAAGAGCTGGAGCAGAGGGGCCCCGCGAGCCCCACAGCCCCGGTCCCCGTGCGGGTTCTCCATGGGGCGGGGCGCTCAGTGGCACAGGGCGATGGTTTCCATGTTAAGGAAGCGGACGTGCATCTTGGTCTCGATGTCTATCCCCTGCCAGATCTGGAAGGGACAGAGCAGCGTGGGCGGCCGTCCCCTCCCCCACCCTCTTCTGTCACCGACTGAGATGCTCCCACGGGTGACAGTGGAGCACTGTGTTTCAAGACTGTGAGCAATGTGTGGAAGAGAAACTTCTATCTGCCTTTTTGTTGGTTAATTGGGCTCTGACATTTGGATTCTTTCTGGATTGTCACGGCAAGTTATTATTAAGTACTGAATCCAAGCTCTTAGCTGAAGTCTTTGAATCCCACCCACCACGTCAGGCTCTGTGATTTTCATGCAGATTCCTCAACCTCCTTTGCACCAGTAAAATGTCGAGACCACCACCCCTGCCGCCCACGCACAGGATGTTGTGGGGGCTCCAGTGGAGTCACCCACAGAAGCAGTCTCTGAACTATCAGGGGCTGTGCGGTTGTCAGGTTTCACTAAGCCATCAGCATTAATTAAAAGGTGACAACCTATATAGGTCTTTAGAACCTCCTAGGGACGGGGCAGGAGGTCACTGTGTTCTAGACGGACAAGCTCAGGCCCAGAGAAGGGAATTTCTACCAAAGACCACGCCCGTCGCCACATACCTGGTACTAGCACTGCCATCATGGCCCATCCTGGCCAGGGCCCTGGGCATTCAGGCTCCCAGACCCTGCCCGCCACACCACGAAGCCCTAGCGCGCCTAGGACTGTGCTCGCCTGCTCCTCGGCTGCTCAGAGCCCAGGAGGACCACGGGTGGAGAGATGGCGGGAAGGATGAGAAGAGGAGCAGAGGGATGTAGAGGGTGGTGACTTGTCACTGTCTCCCCGCTTATGTAGCAACTTCAGGCTCTCAAGCTATCACCCTCAACATCTCCAGGGACAGCCACAAGGCCAGGGAAAAGCAGAGCCCTCTGGCCACCCAAGCCACAGGGAGGACTTAGCACATTTCTTGCCACTGTCACATGCCCAGGGTCCCAGGTCCCCCAGTGCTTTCCCTGTTAGGTGGACAAGACATTCCCAGAAAAAGATACCTGGATGGCTGGGCGGGTTTCTGCCAAGTGCCAGGTGGCAAGAGGGTGACAGTGGAGTGCAGAGAATGGGAGGGGCCAGCTAGTCAGGAAAAGCCTCCAAGGTCACGGACTTGGGAGCACTAGAGGCATGGCCAGGGGCGGGGGCCAGCCTCCTGGGGAGGAAGCTTGGTTTCTTGGGCCAAAAAAGGAACTCATCCTGTCTTCCGGCTTACAGCAGCAACCCCGCCTCCCTGGCCTCCCTGGCCTCCCTGGCCTCCTGACTCCTCATTCTGGTTCCTGCTAGCGTGTATCACATTCCCGGAGAGCAGCCCTTGACACAAGCCAAGATGACCTGCGGCACAAATGTCAATTCTGGCTTCGCCTGCTCTGCCCGCCCCGCCCAGCCCTGGGGTGGGGTGCATCTGAGGGAGGAGGGATCCTGCCCACCCCCGGCCCAGCAGTCCCTCCAGTCTTCCCCTCGGGCCTGGGCCTGTGCGCCTGCCCCCTTCCTCTTGCTATGACTGGCCATGGTGGTGGTGCAGACTTCGGGGGAGTGCCCAGTGGAGCTGCACCATGGCTCCCTGGGGCTGGGGCCACCTGAGTCCCCGGCCTTGCCCCGGACACAGGCCTGTTTCCCCCAGGGCCACTGGGGAGGTGGGGGTTGGCAGCTGGACCAGGAGCCCCTGGGTGTCGTTCCCATGACTTCCCATCTTCCTCACCTCCTGGAAAGGGCTAGGGGACTCTGCTGTTGGGACGCTCTGTGCCGAAGCGTGGGCAGGGCATGGGGGCTCCACTTCCTGCCACGGGGACCTGCCTTTCAGGGCAGCGAGAGGCCCCAGTTCCCTGCGGGGAGGCATGTCTGTAGCAGTGAAGGCTGGGCGAAGGCGGAACATGCACTAGCCGGGGTGGGGGTGGGGGGCAGCTGGGCAGACAGCACTGTCTACCAGCCCCAGTTAAGGGCACTGCAGGGGCAGAACCGCATGCAGTCAGCACCAGTGTGTGCTTCTGAAAAGAGCTAGTCTCTTATAGGCATAGAACACTCCAGAACCCCGGTTCCAACCGTCAACAGGGATGCTTCTGAGAAGGGGGACCAGGGACACAGAGGAGACAGGTGGAGTTGTCCTGGTAAGCCCTTTTGTACTTGCTAAGTTATTTTGACTGTCTGTGACTATCATCACTTTCAATGGAAATTATTAAAACCAGTCTAAATTGTTTTAAAGGCCACACCCAGGCTTGACCTCTTTCCACGGAGATGCCCATCTCCTGACCAGCAGGGTCCCCCTCACACCCGCAGTGCAGCCCACATGCCAACCCCCACCGCCGGGTACCCACCTTCAGGAAGTCATCGAAGGTGATCCCCTCATACACCTGATCAGGTTCCTGGGGACAGAGCACAGAGGCTGTGAGTGGCTTCTGCCCAGAGACTCCATCCCTCCCCCGACCTCCCCCCTCCCCAGTACAGATGGTTGGGGCTGGTTAGCAAAATTACGAGAACACGGAAAACGTTCTGCACTGTTCACCTCCAGCTTGAGGCCAGTCACCCTGAACTCCAACGTCCCCTGCCCTGGCTTGTTGGTGGGATGGAGGGCTTTTTGGGCTCAGCAGGGCCCCACCCATGCCCCTCGGGGAGGACAGGGTGGAGGAGGGTGGAAAAGGAAGGGGGATGGGCACAGAGGCAGGTCCCTCCTCCCAGCACCGCCACCTCCAGCCACTTCCCAGAAGCACAGCCACCAACAGACACCTCCTACCATTCCTTGGTCCTGTCTCATCAAACCAGTCTTACCAAGACCAGCTCTAGGCTAATCTGCGTTCCAGACCACTGGGGAGAGGGCCAAGGGAATAAAGGTTTGGCCTGTGTGCTCGCCCTGATAATGTCTCGCCCCAGAGCCTCTCACCTGCCGAGTCCCTGGTGGTGCCAGTCTCTGCACACACAGGGACGCATGAGGTAAGTGGGGCTCCTGCTCCTCATGCTGTGACTCTCACGACTAAGTCCCCAAAACCCTCACCCCTGCCTGCACGCCCTTTATGACAGAGAAACCCGAGCTGACACCCCACTGTCCATCGATACAAGCCCAGCCAAATAAATCATGGTCATCTGGGCTGTGGATTCCCACACACCACGAAGAATGGGTCGATCTAGGTGTGCCGATACGGAAAGGCCCCAGGACACGTATACAGTGGAAAGAAACAAATGAGGAGTGGAAACGCGTCTGCAGATTCTTCCCTACACTACTAACCAGACGCCACCACCTGCGAGGTGGATGTGAGGGGTCAGCGTGGGGCAGCGGAAGCCGCAGCAGTTCAATTCCATTTCATATGAACCTAAACTCAAAGACACACATGTACACGTTGGTATATGTCAGGAAAAGCCCGACGGAGGGCAGTTCTCTTTAGGGAGAAGGATGAGGGCTGATGGCAGAAAGGCAGTGACAGATGCCGTTGTTTCTGCACCTCTGAAACCCGCTCCCACATGCATGTGAGGGAGCATCGGCAGGCACCCGCCGAGCGTTTGCTACGTGCGCTTTACAAATGTTACTACTAACATCAACCGATGCAAACCTCACAGCGGCCCCCAGAGCTGTTCTGTTCTGAATCCCATTTTGGATATGCTGCTTAATTTTGTGAAAAACACCAATTCTTGGAAGGCCTGGGCCAGCCCTGTCCTTAGGGCTCCCCACTCTTCCTGCCCACGGGCAGAGATGGAAGTGGCTGCCCCCTGTCTGCCGGCAGCCCCCAGTTCCCAGGGCGGCCGAGGAGAGCTAATTACAGACAAGAACCCCCTGGCCCGAGGGTGGGCACCCAGTAGAAGGATGGCGGACAGAAGGGCTGGGCAGAGGGGAAGCTCCCCAGGCCAAAACCTCAGCAAAGCTGTCCCACCCTCAAGCCACAAGAAGGGTTTCCAGAGAAGGCGCTGGAAAGAGATCACTGCCCCAGTCAGTAGCCTACAAGTCCATCAAGTCCATTAACGTGTGGTGATGAATTGTGCGTCTTCCGAGGGCGTCGGCAGCAGAAGGCTAAGTGTCCTCCGAGGCCGGACAGTACCGAACAGCCGTGGCCACCCCTCGCTCTGCATCTCTGCCCGCACACAGCTCGTCCGTGTCCATCTGGCCAAGGTGACATGTTTTAAGAGCACACAGAGGCTCCGTACGTAAACAGAGGCACACATAGTGAGCGGGTCACACACCCAGGACGCCGGCACGAGCTCTTGAAATGCCTCTGCTTCTGAGGTTGTGCAGATTTTATGCAGCTCAGCGGCCACCAGCTGCCAACCATTTTACTACAGCAAATTAAGAAAACTGTCGCCACTTGACACTGGAGTGGGACAGGGAGCAATTCAAAGAAGAAAACTGCAATTTAATCAAATGGGAGTCTGGCTCGGGCAACCCGGCAGGGATCCCTGAGCTCCCCGCCGCCCATGTCACCGGCCCTTTCTGCGGCAGTTAATTTGCTGAGTGGGGTGGTTTCACCAAAGCCGAAGTCTCCCCGGAGCCCCTGAAGCCCACAGGTAAAATACAGGCCAATAAAGTGGCCGCAGCCCCTGCCCACAGGGGCCTGCTGTCTCCTGATGACAGGGCTGGGCACAATCAGCAGGTTCCAGCACGAGAACACCCCCTCACCCAGGGCTGGGGCAACCCCACAGCCACAGAAAAGACATAGAAGCGCGAAGGGGATGCCTGAGGGGGTCACCCGAAACATCAGGGGACAAAGTCCATAGAGATGGTCACCGGTTGCCTGCCTGGCCCCTAGGGGCTCAGAGCCCCGTGTCAGGGGCTAGCTGGGCTGCACTGGGCCCTACAAGAGTCCACTGAATGCAGCCAAGGTCACTGCCCCCGAACTCCAGAAAATTCTTTAAGTCCCTGAGCCTTGGGCTTCCCACCAGTAAAACAAGGCTACAACTCTATGAAGGATGCACGTGAGGCTCCCAGCATGGTGTCTGCACATGCTCTGTGGTCGCCCGACAGGGTGGGAGTGTTGGGGGGTGCCTGGCTGCCTGGAGCCTGCTGGGGCGGTACCTCCCAGGGCCCCCACCCGACAATAGCACCATCTGAGCTCATACAAATCGCGTTATACCCCTTCCCTGGCCATTCGTTACCGCACCCTCTGCTTCAACGGCTCTGTCCTGGGGGTGACTCTGCCCCCCCTCCACCATCAGGGACATTAGGCCATCTCTGGAGACATTTCTGGTTGTCACTAGAAGGTGTGTGTGACTGGCATCTAGAGGACAGAGGCCAGGAACACTGCTCAACACCCCAACGCCCCCAGGACGGCCTCACATGTCAACAGTGCCAGGGGGAGACGCCCACGCTCAATCACTTGACTTCACCCCAGGCCTGACAGCACGGCTCTGAGAAACCACCCGGCCACTTCTACACCCGTGGGACCGTGACAAGCCTCAGATGTGTCCAGCAGTGGTCCAGCTCATGCTCACACGGTCCTGCCTACCTTCCACCCCCATCACGGCTCGAGTGCAGGCCCCCACCTGGGCCACAGTGGCAGCCTCAAAAGTGCCTCCCTCCTCCTGTCTCGGCCAGATCCTCTCCTCTCCTCTGGGGCCCAGCTGGGCCTCCCATCCTCCTCAAGGCACAAGTCCCGATGGCCGAGCCCTGCCCTCTGGTTCATCCACACCCCACGGCTCCCAGCTCCTCACTGGACCCCAGATCAGGGAGCTCCCTGCTAAGCCTGCCCTCCAGGCCACAAAGCCCCTCATTACTAGACAAATCCATGAGAGGGAGACCCTGCTGTCCACCCACCCGGCCTGGAGCTATGCCAGGGGCTACCCATGGGCCTGGGCAGGTTACACAGCTGGGTCTACGGCCCCCAAAGCCCAGCCGCCCCTGCCTGGCACGGCCCTCTGGGGGTGGGACCTCCAGTGGGTCTCCTGGGGGAACAGGAAAACAGTGAGAGGCCTCTGAGCACTGCTTTGTGCCAGGCCTGTTGGTCTCTGCCCTCCAGGGCCTTCCAGAAACACAGACTGTAACCAGGGCACCCAGGGCAGGCCGGGTCAGCAGGGGGAGGTGGGGATCTGGGGGTCGCGGCCCCGGGAGCCCTCACCATCTGGCCCACGCAGACGCTGGCTGCCTCCATCATGGCCCCGTCGGCGATGGAGCGCGCTGACTCCTTCTCGATGTGGGGGTTTCCCGAGAGCAGCTCCTCCACCACCTGCCGGGCGGGGCAGAGAGACTGTGACCTCGGGCCTCCGTCCAGGCCGCAGGGCGGGGAGGCGCCGGGGCCCTGGCGGGCGCGGGAGCACACTTTACATTTCGGTACTCTTCCAGGGTGATGCGGCCATCGCTGTCCGAGTCGTACATGTGGAACAGAACTGGGGTGGAAGAGGGGCTGAGTCAGGTGAGGTTGAGGGGAGCCCTGGATCCCCCGCCCCCCAACCTTCCCCCACCTCCAACTGAGCAAAAGACCCTCATAATGCAACCTCAGTGCCAAAACCATAGGGGCCGAGGGCAGGAGCCACGTGGCCAGACTGACCACTTCTTCAGAGGTGACCTTGGGCAAGCGACCTAACTTCTCTGAGCCTCGGTGTCCCCATCTGTAAGATGGGGTAACGACATGTCTACCGCATGGTGCTGCAAGGTGAGCGAGGCTGGAGCCCGGGAC